CCACATACATAATTTTTAAACCACATTGGTGCATGGCAGAGATGGAAGGATATTTTAATCCCAATAGACTATTACGGTTCCTATCATGTCTGTCAAATAAATATGAATCATTTTCTGTTATCTTTATGGGAGCAAGTTGACTGCTCGAAGGGGTTTGGGCCTGGAGTCTCTCCCCTGCGTACTTATTCACCTCTTATGTATATGTATGTGAATAGAGAGAGATTTATGGAGCAATTGTCGATAATAAATGCCCCCGATAAAGCACATAATCTTCTCGCCTGATGGGCTGTGTGTGAGGCGGGCACAGGGCAGGGAGGGGCGGGCCTGGCTACTTTGAATCAGGTGAAGGTGGAATCATACCCCGGCTGCTCTTCTCGGCTTCTGTGCTGCGTTAGCATCTATTTTCCACTGTCGCCGTCTCCTCTGGAGCCGCACTGGCCCTCCTTCCCTCCATTCTGCCGAGTAGACCAGAGTGGGCCAGGGCCCCCGTGGTGGCGTTGGTTACGGAGCCAGTCTGTGGCCTCTCCTCTCCGCTGTGGCGTGCCTTGTCCTCCCTCACACCCTGCTTCTCTCCAGGCTCCCATCTTCCCTGGGACCCAGGTCCAGGCTGACCCCGAGGATGGTGCTGCTGGAGTCTTGGCAGATCCCCCACAGCCCCGGGGCCTCTGCACGAGTCGAGTCCATCCTCGCTCCCGGAGCCCGGCTGTGAGAAGGGGGACAGGACCTTGGCCTGCTGGGAAGGGGCGAGAGAGCCGGCATCTGGCAGCGGGTGGCACATCTGTCACCGGGCAGCATTTGTGTCCTCCTTGGGGGACTCTGGGCTGCTCGCCTCTCTCTTTCCCTTCTGGGTGTGAAGGCCTTTTGCTTCTCAATGAAGATGACTCTTGAGGCTCTTCAACCCTGGGGAGGAAGTCTCCCTTCCCCTCCTTCCCCTCCCCTCCTGGCCTCCCCATTCTTCTCCCTCTTCTCCTTCCTTTCTGGCATCTGAGCAGAGTGTGGGCGGGCAGCTCCCCCTCCCCCTACATGGACGGAGAGGAGCAGGGTACTAGGCTCCTGGTCCTGTCCCAGTCTCTACCCCCTGTGGCCTTGCTGGGTGACCTGGGCCAAGGCTGTGCCTCTCTGGGCTTCACCTACTATCTCCACTGTCACCATAGGCAGAAGGTGTTTCCCCCAACGAGGGGGGGGAGAGGAAGGGACCCTGCCCACTGATGCCTGGGCGCGTGGGTAGGCCAGGTGCTGCCTGAGCTTCTGGTCTGCTTTACTGGGGGCCTAACGCCCAGGCCGGCTCAGGCCTTCCTTAGGAAGGAGCCAGGGCCCAGGGAAGGGAAGGTCAGGGCAGCCCAGCCCCCTGCCGCACGCCATTGCCCGGCTTTCTACCCATGTGGACAGCAGCCTTTAAAAGTCCTGTCCACAGCTGGGCAATGGTGGTTCATACCTGTATTCCAAGTGAATCAGGAGGCTGAGATCTGAGGCTCTCAAGGACAGTGATTTGGAGCCAGCCCAGACAGGAAGGTCCCTGAGCTTATCCCCAGTTAACCACCAAAAGCCAGATGTGGAGTTGTGGCTCAAGCAGTAGACTACCAGCCTGGAGCAAAAAAGCTCAGGGACAGCACCGAGGCCCTGAATTCAAGCCCCAGTCCTGCCAAACACATGGACAGACAGACAGGCAGACAGACAGACAGACAGACACACACACACACAGATACACACAACCTATTTACCAAGCCACCTGAGCCTGTTTGCAAGCCTGAGCCAGGACAGGGCATGAAATAGGCCAAAGTACCTTATAAATTATCTGTCAGGGAGATTAAAAATAAAACAAACTGGGGCTGGGAAGGTGGCTCAGTGGTAGAGCGCTTGCCTTGCAATGCATGAGGCCCTGGGTTCGATTCCTCAGCACCACATAAGCAAAAAGAAAAAAAAAAGCCGGAAGTGGCGTTGTGGCTCAGGTGGTAGAGCTCTAGCCTTGAGCTGAAGAGCTGAGGGACAGTGCCCAGGCCCAGAGTTCAGGCCCCATGACTGGACCCAAAAAAAATAAAAATAAAAATAAAACAAACCCAAACAAACAGGCCAAACATAAAAACAAAACACAAAACCCTCTTAGATCACAGAGTGTAAATGGGGAGATATTACTATGAAACTTCTGGCTGGAGGCGTGCGGCCAGAGGCTGTCTGTCTGTCTGTCTGTCTGTCTTTTTCCACGGCTGGGCTGGGTCTGCCTTCTCTGCACAGAGCAGCCGCGGTCCTGTCCCTGGTACCTGCGCCCCCAGCTGAGGAGAGGGTGGAAAAGGGCAGCCTGGCCATTTGCTAGAGCCACGAAGCTCCTCCGTGTTCCCTGTGCCTCCCTCCGCGGGCCTCCCTCCACACCTCCGCTGGGTGAGAGGGGGGCTGAGGGCCATTTCCCGTCTGTGGGCACTGAGACTACAGGCTGTGGGTCCGGCTCACTCCCCACTGTCCCTGTTCCCGGGCACCTCAGAGGTCCCTCTGCCGTTCCTGGGCCGTGGACCGCAAGTGGAGGAGGGCCTGCCTGTGTGGTCTCCACTGTCGTTCCTGACCTTGTCCCCAGCCAGTGGAAGCTGGAAGAGAGAGGGAGGCGGGAGAGGGGCAGGAGGTCCACACACACGGGGTGTGACCTCCGATGCCGTCAGCAGCCGCCAGGACCTTTAGGCCCAACGCTTCTGCTGCCATGCAGCATGTTCCAACCTGCGGGCCAGGCTGGCTGCCCACTGTTCCTTCCCTCCCCCAGGCTGCCATCACACCAGCCCTTCCACCTGGGTGCCTTGCCCCGCCCCAACCGGATGAACGCGTCTCTCCTTCAAGGTGCATCTCGAGCCGCAGCCATTGAGAAGCCATGGGGGCCTCTGCCGGGCAGCCCTTGCCCTCCCACCGCGTGTGGCGCTGTGGCTCAAGTGGTAGCTTTGAGTACAAAGAGGCTCAGGGACAGCGGCCAGGCCCTGAGTTCAAGTCCCACAACTGACAAAGAAAAAAGAGTAAGGAGAGATCGGGGTCATTTGAGTTTCTCTAGTTGCCCACCCCCTTACATCCACATCCTTCTGTCCTGAGACCTGCCAGGGTCAGACTGCTCATAGCCTCGTCCACTGGCTGAGGAGGGACGGTTGTGGCCACTATATGAGACCTGGTGGGAGCCTGGTGCTGGCTCGTGCAGGGTGGTGGTGTGCTGGGTGCTAGGTGGCTCAGCAGTCCTTAAGGACAAGCCCTGGTTCAGGTGGATGCCAGCCCGCCGTGTGGGACTCGCGTGCTTCTATCCATTCGCTGGGCTTGGCACGCCTCACAGGTCAGGATTCCGAGCCATGCCGCGTCCCAGGAAGGAGCAGTGCCCTGGGCCTGGGAGCTTCTCTCCCCGGCCACGAAAGCCACACACAGCTGCTCAGTCTGATGTTGCCGGTTGGATTCCAGGCTGAGGGGCTGGTGTACGGGCCGGGGGACAGGCCTGAGACCTGGGCCTGTTCACACCCACGCCCAGCACCCGTCAGTGCCTGTGTTTGCTCTTTCCCACTCCTTGTGTGGTGTTGGCCCATCCCAGACCCAGCAGGCAGAAATGGGCTCGTGGGGCGGGTGGGGCTGGGTCTACCGTGTCCCTGGTGGGTGAGGACCCAGAGTGGAAGGCTGGCAGATCAGAGGGGGCTGTGGCCTGTGCTGGGGGCGGGGGTGGGGGGTGCGTAGAGTCTCCAACTAGGGCTTTCCTCGCCAGCTCCTCCCTACCATCCTGTCAAGTAGGGCCAAGGAGGAGCCCCAGGCCCAGTCCCCCCCCCCACAGGCCTGGTCTGCCTCCCAGGCCTGGTCCCCCTCCCCCAGGCCCGGGCCATCTTGGGTGGGTCTGTCTGGGGGTGGGTGTCTCTACAGGCCACCTCCAGTGCTCCTGGTGGGGCAGGGGGGCCTCTTCCCTGTCACACATGGCCACTGGCAGCTCACGGCTCTCCAGCCTGGCACCTGCAATCAGAGCTGGCCATGTGTTGCCACTGTGACATTGATAAGCTCCTCTGCCCAAGTGCTGGCTTTGGACCTTGGCTGGCACAGCCTAACGCTGATGGGGGTGGGGTGGGTGAGGGAGGTGGGGGTGCAGAGGAGGCTCGCTCAGGGAGGATGGAGCGAGGATGGAGCGGGGAAGCTCACTTAGGGAAATTGGTTGGAGAGGCTCGCTCACGGAGGCTTGTGCTCAGGGAGGATGGCTGGGAGGCTCTGGGGAGGCTGGTGCGGGGAGGCTCGCGCTCAGGGAGGATGGCTGGGAGGCTCTGGGGAGGCTGGCGGGGGAGGCTCGCGCTCAGGGAGGATGGCTGGGAGGCTCTGGGGAGGCTGGCGCGGGGAGCCCCCCGTGGCCCCGCGCAGGTAGCCCGCGTCCGGGCAGGAGTGCTTCCTGTCTCTTTCCACGCAAACCGATGATGAATTTTCAAGTCGGCCGAGAACTACCCCAGGAATAAAAATAGCCCGGGCGGCCTGGATCCGCCTCCGGCCTGGCGCCCGGGGGGCACGGCGGGCCGGGGCCGGGCGTCGGGCGCGGCCCGTCCCGGAGGAGGGCCTCAGTCTCCCCGGGTGCGCCGGTGCGCGGCCTCTCCTGGGCCGCCCGCGGGTCGCGGTCCCCGCGCGGCCCGGGCCGGCCGCCCCTTTGTGCGGCCGCGCAGACAATGGCCGGGCCGCGGGCTCGGGGCCCCGCCGCCGCCGCCGCCGCCGCGGTCTCTCCGGCAGGCTGGGAGGGAATCCCCCCCCCCCCCCCGTCCTCCCCCACGCCGCCACCTCGCGGCTCCCGGGAACCCCTGGCGGACGCAAACTTGCAAGTTCGCAGGGCGCTCGCAACTCGGCGGCGGGCGGCGAGCGCGGGGCGGCGGCGGCGGCGGCGGGCGGGGCGCGCACCGGCGGGCGGGCGGGGCGAGCGGCGGCGGCGGCGGCGCTGCGCCGAGTCCGCGCCCGTCGCGGGCCCCCCGCCGCCCCCCCCCCCCCCCCCCGCCGCGGGCCGGGCCGGAGCGCGGCGGGCGCGCGCGCGGCGGGGGCGCGGGCGGCGGGCGCGCGCGCGGCGGGGGCGCGCAGGCACAAGTAGTTTACATTGTTGGGCGACTTTTGCAACAACTCGCCGCGCCGCGGCCTCCGCGCGCCGCCGCCGCCGCCGCCGCCGCCGCCGGCTCCCCGCCGCCCGGGCCCGGGCCGGCCGCGCCGGGGGCCGCCGCGCCGCTCGCCCCGCCGCCCCGCCGCCGGCCGGGCATGAGTTAGTCGCGGACATGGACACCAAACACTTCCTGCCGCTCGGTGAGTGTCGGCCGCCGGGCCGGGCCGGGCCGGGCGGGGACGGGGGGCCGGGGCCGGGCCCCGGGGCCGGCCGGCGGGGCGGGGGCGCGTGCGCGGCGTGCGCGCGGTGCGGGGGGGCCGCCCGCGCCCCGGCCTCCCCGCGAGTTCGGGCGCCGGCCTGGGCAGGGGGCGGCCGGGCCGCGGGGCAACTTTTCCCGGGCGCGGGCGGGGGGCGCCGGGCGCGCCCGGGGCTGGAGAGGCCCCGCGCCGGCGCGCGCCCCCGGTTCTCCCCGGTCCCCCCCGGGCTCCCCGGAACCCCCGGGCCGCGCCGCGCCGCACCGCGCCGCGGGAGCAACTTCTGCGCGCGCTCCCCCGCGGGCCCCGGGCCGCCCCGGGCCTCCCCGGCACCGGGACGCGGGCGGCGCGCCGGGCCCCGGGGGCCTCCGCGTCGCCCGCCGGCCGTTCCCAGCAGGCCCGCCGGCTCCCGGGCGTCCTGTCCGCCCGGGAAGCAAACTGCGACCCCCTCCCTGCCAGGCCCAGCCGCGCACGGTCGCCCCGCGGGGCTCCGGGGCTCCCCACCGCGGCGCCCCACGCTGCTCCCCGGGGTCGGACAGCCCAGAGGCGGGGGAGGGGGGGTGGGGTCAGCGTCCCTGTCCTGCCGCCGTCCCGCCGGCCGCTCCGGCCCCGGACGGCCTGCCCAGCGCGGGCATGCGCAGCGGGCATGGCCCCCCAGCCGTCGCTGCCCCCGGGCCTTGGGAGCCATTGGGTATGGGAGGGGGGTGGCTTTATAAATGAGCGCGGGGAAGGATATTCGTTTGGTGGTGGGGACGGCAGCCGGGCTGTCAGGGTGGTGAACGATTTGTGCTGAATGGAAATGAAGACGGCTGATGAGGAAGGACCCGGGACCGGGGCTCAGCCTGGACACGCGGAGCTGCTCCCCGCCCGGCCCCGCCGCGGGGCACTCCCCGCCCGCCCCCGTGTGAGGGCCAGGGACTGGGCGCAGGCCCTCTGCGGGGTGACCGGAAGAGGGGATTCCGAGTTGGGGAAAGCTGTGCAGACCGGCTGGCCGGGTGGCCCAGATGAGGGCTTTGGGGCTTGGGCCGGGAGCTGTCCTCGGGTGAGCTCTGGGGTTCCAGTCCTCAGCGTGAGGACTTGAGCTCCGTGTTGTAGAGGAGAAGCTAGTGGGGTGAGGCTGTGTTTATATGATCTACCAAGCCGCGGATTTGGACCCCCAGCCTGGGGATGCTGGGGTGCACGCCACAGATAAGAAAGCTAGAGGTCTGTGACTCACATTGTGGGGCCTGCTATGGGCCTGGCTGGGGCGCCTGTGGGGGACAGCAGCACCCCCTCCCTCACCCACTTAAAGCTTTCTCATGGCTCTGGATTCTCCGTAGAGTTGCTTTTGGAAGAGGAATGGCCCAGCTTCGTCTCTGGTTCCTAAAGGTGTCCAGGGCTGCACTTTGGCTAGTCCTGGGAACAGAACAAGTCTGTGCCCTGACACAGCCCAGCCGGGAGTTGGCACATGTGGGCAGGACTAGGGACCAGAATGCCCAGGGTAGCAGTGCTGGAATTCCGGTGAGGAGGAGAGCTTGTGCTGCAAAGCCACTGGACTTTGGTGGACTGGACCCAGACCCCTCCCCCCCAAGAGGCTTGGAGTCCCGTGTTCACACAGTGGCAGCTTTCTGGACACAGCCTGTGGCCTCCCAGGAAGCCCCTGCCCCAGGGCTGAGTAGCAAGCCCTGAGCTCTGCTTACATTTTACTTTTTCCTAAGCTTGTGACCAGCTCTGGAGTTCAGCGCAGTTGAAGGTCCATTTAAGCAGCCACTTGCCTAAGCCCTTTTGTCAACAGTCTAATCCCTCCTGGGGATGAGTGTCAGAGGACCTGGCTTGTCCAGGGCTCTGCTGGCTGCCCAGGACAGACCGGAAGCTGCTGGCGAGGCCTGACTGTCCTTTTCAGTCGCGGAGCCATTTGAGGGGTCGGCCTTGTGGAGGCTTCCTCCTCTTCCCCCTGTCAATGGGGCTCGGTGGGCCTAGGAGTCTCTTAGCCACAAGACACTGAGCCGATTAGTGTGGGACAGCTCTGGATGAGAAGCAAGCCGCCTGAGGCGGCTCCTGCTTCCTGGCCCTGCTCCCAGGGCTGGTTTACTCCATACCCGTTGGGGATGAGGCCTCAGCCTGGACTGAGCCCTGGGATACTGAGGCTGAGTTTGCAAAGTCCAGAGGTCCCAGGCTATACCAGACCCTCCTTTACTATTAACTTGCCTGCAGGTCACCAGGCGGCTGGAGGCAAGCTGTAGACCCCCTGAACATCTCCTTGGGGAACATTTGGGAACTTGGGTGAGCTTGGAGCCTGGGTGAGGGGCTTCTTGTAACATCGGAGCCCTTGGAACCCAAAATAGAGCACATTCCGGGCCTCCCAAAATAACAGGGTCACGTGACTCCCAGGAGGCGGGCTTGGAGTCCAGCTCGGGCCTGACTAGGCAGTTTGTGGCTAGGCTCAGGCATGGCCGACTGGGGTGTTTGTTTTGGTAAACTCCAGAGGGAGCCCTGTTTATTGACTGGGGAAGTGTTAGGGCTAGAAAAATGGTCTGCATGCTGGTCTATGACCATGGCCTGGCTGGCTCCCATCCTCGGCTGAGCATGCGGCCCAGATGAGGGCCAGGCAGGCTGGGCCCCTCCGAGAGGCCGGCGGATGGAAGACCAGGTCGGTGTGTCCATTCCTCGGGGTGTGTGAGGTGCAGAGCAGAGCCAGCAGCGCGGTCACGTGGGGAGTCTGCCACGGGCTGGCTCCCAGCTCCACCAGGACCAAGGCGGCTCTTCCAGCTGTGCCTGTCCTTCAGGGCCTGCTGCAAGGCGCCTCCTCTGGGAGGCTCCTCTGATTGCCCTGCCAGGACCCTGCCCCAGCTCCGCTGTGACTGGGAGACTATAGCTAGGGGTCGTCCGTCACGTCCTCTTCTGGAGAAGGTACCCAGAGCACTTGTGGAATCGTTCTGGGCACTGAGTGCTCAGGCCTGCCTGCACCCTCCCCTGGAAGGCTGGCGGTGCATGCCGGGTCTGGGGTCTGGAGGGCCTGGTGTGTGGACAGGGTACCCGCCCACAGCCTGAGAGGTTGCCTGGGCTTCCTTTCTTGGGTGACGTGGAGTCGTACTGTAGATTGAGCTTTTCAGGGTTGGGGTCTCTGGAGCAGGTCTTGTCCTGTGGAAAGGATGGTTCTGGGCTTGGCCCAGCTGTCCCGCAGATGCAGGCCAGGACAAGCCAAGTCCTGCCCTCTTTCCCTTCTCCCCAGTCTGCAAGCTTGTAGGCCCCAGCCTGGAGGCAGTCCATTAGCTGGTTTGTTCATATAGGAACTGGCTCTGGCCAGGCTCACATGGGGCTGGGCCTGGACTCTCGCTCCTGGTGTCTTGATGATAGCATGGGTGAGGGGTCACCGTCTAGAACCTGCATCCTGAGTCTCATCAGGCAGGTTCATTTCCTGGATGCAGTGGGAGGTGGGAGAGGGCCAGTCCCTGTCCGCTGCTGTAGTGTGTGCTTGTTGGAGGATGCTGTTCAGCATTCTCTCTCTCCTGTGTGGACCCTTTGCCACTCATCTTCCCCTCCGTGACCACAGGCTTTGCTATGGCCATAGAGTGTCCGGCTGGACCTGGAGGACTAGTACTGTGGGAGAACTTGCCTGGCTTGCATCTGCGCATGCTCTTCCCAAGTGCTGGGTAGGCAGCCTGCTTTGCCAGGCTGACTGGAGCTTACAGAGCTCTGTTTGTGGGGTGTGTCTCCTTTCCCAAGGTGAGGCCTGCAGCCAGGTCCTCCCAGGGCCTCCGGCCTAGGTGGGGTGGGGCCAGGTCTCCAGGTTGGACGCAAATGGGCCTGAGGATCGCTGGTGCCTCCAATGTGTGTGTGGAGGGGGGGATAGGGAAAGGGCATGGGCATTGCCTGCTCCAGGAGCCTCACCTATCCCTGCTGGGTTCCCTGGCCAGCCCCTGGCCTCTGCGTAACTGTTCCCAAAGCCCGTGGGGTTGGGTGGGACAAGGGCCTGCGTGTGTCTACGCCCACCCAAGCCTGGTGCGAGATGTTCTAGCAGCCCTGCCCCAGTGCCTCACAGACAGGGAAATTGCACCCTAGAGTTACAAAGCAATTGTCTAGCTCAGCAGCTGAATGAGCGGGAACAGGAGCACGAAGTGGTGAAGGAAGATTGGCCAGGCTGCAGTGTGTGTGTGGGGGGGCGGCAAAGGGTAGGAGCGCGGGCAGGGCCTGGGTGAGCATGCAGATGTGCACCTGTGCTGGTACCACCAGATGCCGGCCTGCGCCCCTGTCCTGTGCAAGGCGAGTGGCAAGGTGGGCCTCTCTCTCTGGTGGGACCTCATGCGGCCGGGAGGACAGCTCATTCTGTGTCCCCCACTCCTAACGTCCCCAGGACCCCCTATCCCTATGAAGATGCTGGTGGCTCCAGTGGGCCTTGCAGAGGCTTCGGGGATCCCGCCACTTGGTGGGGTTCACACCGCAGCCCGCTCCTCCCCGCTTTTTCTCAGCATACTGATTTTCAGCTGGGCCCAGCTTCTAGCTGCAGCTGAGCCAGACCTGACTGGGGTGGGGGCTTTGACCCAGCACAAGCATCTTCGCCCCTCATTTTCCCACCCCTCATCTTCCTGCCTGTCGCACCCCCCTCCCCCCAGGAGATGCCTGCCGGCCAGCAGACTCACACCCTGCCCCGTTCCCTGTGAGTCTCCCCGTGACTACTCTGATCTTGACTGGTTTGTCTTGATCCCTCTAGGGAAATCCAGACCCCCACCCCTCCCCCTACTCCAGGGTCCCCCGAGCCATGGTCAGCCATGGGACAGCGGACAGCCGGAGCACTGGCAGGGCTGTCTGTCTGGCACAAGCTCCAGAGGGTCCGGGTCAGAAGCCAGGCGAGGACAGCCACGCGGAGGCCACTCTGGTTATCTTTGTGGTCTCCGCCCCCAGCTTGCACGTGTACATGCGTGTAAACCCACATGCACCCCAAGACTGGGTCCTGAGGGTATGACAGA